TAACAGCTGAAGATGTTTCAATTGATGCTCCATAGTTGCTAGCTTTTGAGTAGACGCTGTATGGATATCAACCAGAGTCTTCTCAATCTGCCCAGCATGAGCTGAGCGAATGGGCACCAAAGGCTGAGGATTGAACACCTACAACCAAGCACAACGAGTCAGATCTGGCATGCGACTTGATAAGCATGTGCAACTGCACAACTATGGAAGTGAAATTTATAGCCTTACCATCCCTTTACTACAGCACATTTCAATCAGTGCCTTGCAGAACGGTGATGGATCAACCCGTGAGAAGCTGACACAAGTCCAAGTGTCTACCTTGCCACCATTGACCATTTTCTAAACAAAAATCACAGATTGAGCCATAAATACTTGTAATGGATAATGACATGATAAAAATATTCAAGAACATTAACACCACTGAATATGACAGCCTTTGACAAAATGGGAAGAGATGCATTTGCACTCAGTTCAAGTTCTATATGACTCTGAAAATAAACCCCACACTACATTCATATAATGAGAAATAGGGAATAAAGAGCATCCCATCAATTTAACACTGATAAGAACAAGAAATCCTAGAAAAATATCAGGAACAATAAGTATTCAAGTTTTACCTAAAAACTCAGATGAATGCAAAAACACTCAAGAGGATAAGTGACAATCTAATACCTTATTTATCATGTTCCATTGACCAATCCTAGGATCCACTCGTGATTCTTGACCAGATTCATGATACTTTAGCTGCAAGACCAATAACGATGCAGATGCTAAACACACATGAAATTAAAGCTTTAATGATCCATGAATACACCAAAAACATAGACCAAGGAACTACCATTGGAGGCTGAAGAACCCGTGCATCAATGGTGGTGAGTTCACTTCGAACTTCAATACCAAATTCTTTCACCATTTCGTCAGCAACATAGTTGTTAGAACTCACAATCTACCGGGGAAAAAACAAACATCTAATTAAAACACATGTTAAAAAGTACATGAAACTAATTGCAGGAGGACTCGTGTTATATAGATCTGATGTATACATGCCTTTTCAATGCTTTTCTCTCTATCAGCAGGTCTCTGACAAGTTGCCTTTAGCATCTCTGTGACCTGCCTTCCATTCAACATTTTTGTGTATCTTTGGCCTGGAACGATTTGGCAAATCTGAAAGCAAACATATCAGAAGAGAAAATTTGTACATGCAGAGAGATAACAGCAATAGCAAAGGTCAAAAATAAAAATGAAAAGAAGCAGAATGGCACTAAGAGTAAGTAACCTCCATAGGCAGATACACGGGCTTTGCATCGCTGCCCGCCTGAATCGCAGGCAACATTGGAAACCTAAGTACAATGTTGTACTTCTGCCGGAAGTAGTCAACAACTGATGTCTTCATTCCAGTGCCGTCAACGGAAAACCTTAATCAATAGAAATTGTCAAAATAATTAGTCATGCCTAGAAGAGCACAAAATAATCCTGAAAAATATAATTGCGACAGCTAACAACACAAGAAGAGCGAAAATAATAAACAAGGCTATAGCCATACTAGAGATACTTCCTTCAAACAAATCCTACGAATATAGAACTAAAAAGAATACACTAAACAATACTGATAGATGTTGCATTAAATTGATGGTGAAGTTGACATGCTTAAAAGCCTCGTAGTGTTGAAAGCATTAACTTTTTTGATAAGGGTGTTAAAAGCATTAACAAACTGCAAACCCATAAAATAACAACCATAACCATCACAACAAGCTTGTGAAGTGAGTCTAATTGTCTCACTTAAGTCATAGTACCCAAACTAATGACATACATTATTTCCTTCACTGGTTGAGCGGACAACCCGGAGATCCTGTAGCGTCTGATGCCGTGATGACTCACCTCAACTTTAACACCTTTCAGAACCCTTTTGACCTGAAATTAATAGTGGAACAAACGTATGACCTATGTGAAATCGAATGAACATCTAAAACATTTTTCAGATAAGTAGAATAAACATCTAAAACACTTTCAAACTAATATCCAGAGGATATCTAGAGACATAATGATCCTACAAATCTTCAATTCTCTTTGACATACACTTTTCAAATACTTCAAATTGTGGCAGACATACAGAGCACAAAATAACAATTACCAATAAGCAATTTTCAGTTACCTTGATACGGTCGCGATCAGATATCAACCTATTAAGATCCCTGAGATTCAAGTACCTCGCAACATACTCGTACACATAAATAGACTCATAGAATGCTCTGGCTGACATATCTGTAGCATAGTAGCAGGAAATAGCATGTTAAAAGGAAGTAATCCAATTAGTCTGAAAGAAGCCAAAAGAGAACTAAAAACACAAAATGTAGCAATCCACGTCCTAGGCTTCGTTGTGGGTTCATACCAATATTTAGAGAGAGGCCCATCTGGGTTGGCCGAAGACTTTGATAATACCCTTTCCAGTATTCCAAACCATCAGTAAGCAAACCATAATCTCCCAATGTCTTATGGAAAAAGGACCTTCCCACTACTTCATATCTGCAATTGACAAAGGTCAAGGTGTCTCAATTATCATTCAAAAGGAAAAAGGGAAAAGAATACAAATAGCTAGGAACATACTTGGCTGATGGTGATGCTCGAAGCACCACATCCAAAGCTTGTATAGTTTCTTGCGGGGCATCTGATTGCGTACATTGCAAGAACTGTTTCAAGTGGTGAAGATCAGCTTTGGCAGCAAACTTGATAGAGACCTTAAACTCTCTTTCCCTCCTGAAACAAAACCAAACAAAACAGTGCAACAAAAGTCCATAAAAGAAACACTAATAGTAAATAAAAAGTGGCAAATCATCAAAAACTGTAAATCTATAGCTCAAGCCTTGGAATCCTGATGAGCTTGGAACTAAAAGTATCTCCATGGGCTTGATCACTTTACAAGGAAAAAAAGTGCTTGAAAACATGTAAACACCAAAAGCAAAACTTACTTTGCTCCACCACTATTGCCATCTAGCTTGATAACGAAGTCCTTGGAGGAGAATGGGAGAGGCCCAGCAGTGTAAACACTCTTCCCGCCATCATATGCTAAATTCCGACCACCCATGTGTGACTGTTTATAGTCATTAACTAGCTGGCTCATAATCTCTCTGCATACTTTCTTTGACAGAACCTCTGGAGAGATTGTAACCTGAAAATTCAATATTAGAAGTTATTAATAAAGGGAGAATTTGACATGTAGCATCGAAGAATGGATTAACAGGGATTGAAGTGGCAGCAAGTGTGCTCGGCACGTATCAGATCAACAAAGAAACACAGGATTTACCAACATTTGAATATGCAAAGACAATACCAGCGCTATGACAAACTCTACATTTGGTCCATCATGACACACATCTAAATTTTTATTAACAGCTATGAAAAAACATTGTTAGGACATAAGGACAAAACAAAATTTTAAAACCACTTCAATTTTGTTAAACTCAGATGAAGTTTCAGTAAATTCTAAATATTATAGAAATTAAAGATAAAATAAGTTAGAAACTACTGCTCGTAATTAACAAACGTATTTATATGCATAATGCACACAAAAAACACATATGATGTACATACATACATAAACGTTGCTAGACACACAAATACATATACGCAGAGAGACACCATGACACTTTAGCGCTAAATACCCACAGACGCACCAAATATTAATATGGTATTGGACACCACACATATATATAGTGTTACATATATACAGACGATTCAAGTATATAACTATACATATATACGTACTCACAGTCACATACATACAAATATATATATATATATATATATATATATATATATATATATATATATATAGACACACACAAACAAACACAGAGAGAGACCTTTAGCGCTATATACACAACACTGTTATATACAGACACATATGGTAGTAACAAAAATATTTATAAAATATACAGAGAAAGAAAATGACGTTTAGCATGATTACCTAACACATATCAACTAGTAACACATAAATTACTTACATCATAGTGATGCAGATCCCGATCAGCAACATGAACGAGAAAATGATTTGCTCTTATAAGGCACTTCCGTCCAACAGTTCCGTATCCCGGTCTATTAGGAACCTGAATGCTTTTCGAGGACGGCGGCGGCGGCTGTAGCGGTTTTACACCAGTCGCCGGTGCCGATTGTTGCACAGGCTGGGCCACAACAGGACGTTGTGATGATGAAGGCTGAAGCGAAAGCTTCTGCTCTACCTCGCGAGACACCGATGAAACCGTGATCGCCGGTCGTTGAGGTTGAGACGCCGGTGGAGCATTGAAAGACGGCAAACCTCCACTACTAAATGTTCCACGACCACGACCACCGGAAGAAGACGGCCCTCCGGCGCCCCGACCACCGAATGAAGAAGACGGTGTTCGACCGCCACCACCTCTACCACCACCGCCTCGACGTCCGCGTCCACGTTCCGACATTGCTATCGACGCAACGAGAGAGAAAAAGAGTAAGTAGCAAATGCACTGTAGTGCTGATTTTGTGAGTGTTGAGATGTGACCACGGAAGAAGTGGAAAAGACTGGGAAGTTGTATTTGCCTTTAAAGGAAAACCGATTTTTGCTTGGACGAATTTACCCTCCGGTCCTCCACTCTAATGTTAATTATTTTCAGGTCCACACACACGTAATTTCCCTACTTTTCTGGAGTTTTTAATTTCTAGTTTCTACCATGACAAAGTAAAGATCTTTGTTACCAACATATTACTCCTTTTTTAAATCAACGTATGTTACATTCTATATTTTATAGCAAGTAAGAATTGGTTAAAAACTAGAGATATAATAAGTGACTTTTTATAATTGCTAACTATATTGATAATGTATGTCCATTAAATTTTCTTTTTTCCACACCCGATCCTTTATTTTTATTTTTTTAATTTCTCCATACATAAAAGGAGGTTGGACTTCATAGTTTTCATAAATACATCTATAGCATCATGTAAAAAAAAAAAAAAAGATATACACCGCTTTGGGATACACGCGCACAAAATCTAGAATAGATTCTACTTAATTTGAAAAAATAAATAGAAGATTGGTAATAGTATTAAAAAGAATTATATTTTTACCGTAAAAATTTGTAACGAGATAACCGCACAATTCACTTGTCAATATTATAATTGGAAAGGTATAGTACTTAATAATTTACTAGGAGCATAGAGCTAATATAGATCTCTAACCATTCAGTATTTTATATTTATTGACTTGATTAATAAATAAAATCCTTTAAAAAAGCAAATTATATTTTCATTTCTAGGGCTCGAGTCCGAAATCTTTTAGAGCCGGAAGGATCTCGAACATTTCATCACCCGAATGGTGCGTCTGCATACAATTTTAGTCTTATGAGTAAAGTGTCAGCTCTCTTAGGCTAGGGAATATATTTATCTTCTTTTCTCTATAGTTTTATTGATTTTTTCTAAAAACAAATTCTTGTTGTGCTCTTTATTACTTCAAAGTGGAACTCAAAAAAGGTTGTACTAATAGGCTTTATTATTTTATATAATAACTAATTATGTTATGCTGGCCCTTTATTACATAAGGTTTATTTCTATTCTCAAATTTAAATTGGATAGTTAATTCGCATATAACGTCTATCAGAAAAGTTTACAATTTAGGAGTACTTTTCACTTGTACATGCTTTAATGAATAATCTATTTTGCCTATTTATTTCTCCAAAAGTCATAGGAGTACTAATTGATACTACAATTTAATATTTAACAAGCCTCTCCTCCAATTATTGAAAAGCACAATAATCATATATAATTGCATTTTTAGTTCTTCATTTATCAATCAACATTTTAGTTAAAGACCATTCTTATTCCCGGTAAGTAGTGGCTGAAGAGCATAGTAATAGGATATAGTTCCTTGTTGAGTCCTTCCTCTATCATTGTAATAATTAATTAATACTTACAATATAGTAACAAACTCTCTTATCCGGTGCAACTGAAAAGCATAGTATTAGTAAATGAAGTTGTCTTTTTAGCTCTCCATTTATCATAATAATATTGTATAGGTCAAAATCTGATCACAGTGATCGTCCAAGCTGGGACTTCGCCTAAGTGGCAAAATGGCGGGAAGCACCACAACTAACCTCGGTCCAATCATCGACAGTGCATGTTAAGTAAAAACGGTATTCGAATAACAACGAAAAGACAGTCACGTGAGAGTACGTTGGTCAAAGAACACAGTAAAATTCCAAGAACTATATATAGAAAGGGGATTCTCAGAAAAAGGGGGCGGGGAATTTTCCTCTCAACTCTTTGTCTTACAATTTCCTCTTTTGAATAATGTAATGTCACGACCCGGATTTTTCACCCTCGGGAGTCGTGATGGCGCCTACTCGTAGAAGCTTGGCAAGCCACGAAATAAAAAAAATTCAATCTCTTTCATTTTTAACTCTTTTTAACGAATTGAATTAACAGGTGATCAACATTTAAATAATAGCGAAAGATGAAATTAAGCGAAAGACTTAGACTAATATAATACCAAAATCAATACGAAAATGCCAACATCCGTCTCTACCCAGAAACCGGTGTCACAATATCTACGGATTGTCTATGAATACTACATACAAATGTCTGAACAAGGAAATACAGTCTGTCTCAGAAACAAATAGAAACAGAATATATAAATAGATAGAAGAGAGCGTCGGGCCTGCGGACGCTTGCAGAACTACCTCGGGATCTCTGAGTGGGCTGAAGGCTGGCTCCCCAACTGCTATTGTCCAAATGTTGTTTCGGTATCTACACATAGTGCAGAGTGTAGTATCAGCACAATCGACCCCATGTGCTGGTAAGTGTCTGGCCTAACCCCGGCGAGGTAGTGAGGATCAGACTCTAGATAAACCTGTGCAGTTATATAATATACATCAAAAAAAATAGGAATAAATAATGTAAATGGGAGGGGGTACATGCTACAGGGAACATGTCAAATCCAACAGAAGCTAAAGAGTGACAAGAGAGAACAATTCAAGTTCTACAACAAACAATAATAACACTGTTGTGGCGCGCAACCCGATCCCTTATCATTTAACACTGTGCGGCGTGCAACCCGATCCATTTATATTACTGTTGCGGAGTGCAACCCAATCCAATATAACATTGTTGCGGCGTGCAACCCGATCCAATATAACATTGTTACGGCGTGCAACCCGATTCAATATATAATAATGTTGCGGCGTGCAACCCGTTCCAATATATAATAATGTTGTGGCGTGCAACCCGATCCAATATATTTATATACCTTAAACTCAACCATACCATGGGTCCCGGCAAGGGATCAACAATAAACTAAATTATCCCGGCAAGGGAATTCAACAGTAAAAGTATATAGGTCCCGGCAAGGGAGAATCAGCTATAACCAATTTTAACTCAATCCCTGCTCATCTCAGCTAACACCAATACTCAATCATAATTACTTTCCACGAAAATAAACTAAATCCTTGCTCTATATTGAGAATCACCAAGTAAAGCATCCGTAGTATTATTTAAGAACATAACAAATATTAATTTAAGACTCACGGTCATGCTCAACACCAACGTATAAATACTCGTCACCATGCATATACGTCGTACTCAACAAGAAGCAAATAGTAAATAAGACACAACTCCTAATCCCTCAAGCTAAGGTTAGACCGAACACTTACCTCGAACTTCCACGACCAACTCAAGCCTCAAACACCGCCTTTCCTTTCGAATTTGGCTCCAAATCAATTGTATTTATACATAATCGACTTCATAACATCAATAAGCGCTAATCAATCCAATTTCAATGCTTAATTATAGCTTTCTAATCATTCTTCCCAAAATGTCAAAAATTGACCCCGGGCCCGCTTGGTCAAAACACGAGGTTCGGACCAAAACCCGATTACCTATTCACCCACGAGCCTGAATATATAATTTGTTTTCAAATCCGACCCCAAAACAAGGTCAAATTCCCAAATAATTAAAAAGCTCTAACTATACCCAAATCTCTAATTTTCTACCCTTAATCACATATTTTAGGCCTAGAAATCTAGTGGGTGTTGATAAAAATGGAAGAAAATAAGTTAAATATTACTTACCCAAGAGGTTATGGTGAAGAAGTTATTCAAAAATAGAGCAAGAGGTGTGGAGAAGATGAAGTTTGTGAAAAATAATGAAAATCCCGTAATGTGTTCTGTTTTTGGAACTTAAAATAACTGGGCGAAATTACACATCGCGTTCGCGACAAGTCCATTGCGTTCACGATGGATTAGGCCTGCTAGGCCTTCCCGTTCGCGGAAGAGGTTCGCGTTCGTGGAGAAATGACCCCTCAAACCTTCGCGTTCGCGTCCATGTGGTCGCCTTCACATAGGTTTAATGCCCCACCCCTTGCCCAGGCTCAATTAGCCTTCGTGTTCGCGTTACCAGGCCCGCGTTCGCGAAGGGAAGACCCCCCAATGCCTCGCGTTCGCGTAGAAGGAATTTACTTTAACATAATTATCACATCGCGTTCGCGAGGGTCTTCCCGCGAACGCGAAGAAGGAAATATTAGAATACCAACAGCTGAAAACTTGCAACTTTTTAAGAGTTTAAAACCTTTCGAAACACATCCGAAACTCACCCGAGCCCTCGGGGCTCCAAACCAAACATACGTACTAACTCGAAAACACCATATGAACTTATCCATGTGATCAAATCGCCAAATTAACATCATTAACATCGAATTAAACCTCAAAATCAATGAATTATTTCAAACTTCTTAAAATATCAAATTTTGCAATTTAGGTCCGAATCATGTCAAATGACATTCGTTTCTTACCAAACTTCACAGTGTTATCTTAAATCACATATAAGACCTGTATCGGGTGCCGGAACCAAAATATGGGCCCGATACCAACATGTTCTAATCAAAGTTCATTTCAAATTCCTTTAAAAAATTTCATAAAACAATTTTCTTTAAAAATTCATTTCTCGGGCTTGGGACCTCGGAATTTGATTCCGGGCATACGCCCAACTCCCATATTTTCCTACGGATCCTCCTGGACCACACATCACGGGTCCAAGTCTGTTTACCCAAAACGTTGACCGAAGTCAAGTTAACTCATTTTATAGTCAAAACTTATCATTTTTCATAGATTTTTATATTTAGGCTTTCATGCAACGCGCCCGGATTGCGCACGCAAATCGAGGTGATGCTAAAATGAGGTTTTCAAGGCATCGAAACACAAAATTCAATTTAAAAGCAAGGTCATCATATTCTCCACCTCTAAAACAACCGTTCGTCCTCGAACGGACATAAGAAGGAAGTACCTGAGACGGGGAAAAGATGGGAAAAACGGCTCTACATATCGGACTCGGACTCCCAGGTCGATGCCTCAGGAGGCTGACGTCTCCACTGAACACGAACAGAAGGAAAACTCTTCGACCTCAACTGACGAACCTGCCGATCTAGAATAGCCACCAGCTCCTCCTCATAAGACAAGTCCTTGTCCAACTGGACAGTGCTGAAATCTAACACGTGGGATGGGTCGCCGTGATACTTCCGAAGCATGGACACATGAAACACT